AAAACTAATACAAAAAATGCTCAAAAATGATATCTATGTGTGAAAAGGAGATGTCTCAAATGAGGTCATGTTTAGTTTAAAGAAATTAAAAAAATGAGAAATTTTAAATAGTTAGTTTATTACTAATATCAATACTTTTAAAAAAATTTATGATATCTTCATATTTATGTTTTATTTAAAAATAAAAATATTATCACTTTATCAAAATCACATAAAATCGTATTATAACATCGACTAAGACAAAAAAAAAGAATCACTAAAATCGAGATGTATCTTGCTACATTGTGCAAGTACCCTTAGAGTTTTAATAATGTGTTTGTTTCCCATATATTTGTTTCTTTATATGAATATTTTTTATGCATTTGTAAAATAAAAAATACAACTAAAAAGTTTTATATTATGAACAAAAACTACATATAAAACAAACATATTGTGAAACAAATATATGTTACTCAATATATTAAATTCTAGTCTTATATGAAAAAAAAAATATGTAAAATAATATCTTAGGCGTAAGATAACAGTTCTCCCGGTCATCACAATATTATAAGATTCTCACATCAGTATAAACCAATTAGTTGAGATATTTATAAAAATGACGAGATTCGTTTATTATAATTTGGATATTTATAAAAGATTGTCATAATTTATTTATTATGATCACTGTTTATATCAAGAAACAAAGTAAATATTCATCAAATAAGATGAACTCTTGAACAATTTGTAGTATCAGTTCATATATTCAGCTTCAAATATGTTTTTTCAGCTTTTTCAAAATTTCACATATGAAACTTCTTTTAAACTTCCTTTTTTACCTTTCCAGGATATTTAACATTTTTTTATTAACCTGAATATCTAACCAGCTATGCAAGCCGACTAATCCCAGGATGACCACCTGCTTTGTAGATAGCCCAGAGTCACTGCATTTGAACCTCCGTGACCACAAGGAGATTTTTATTCCTCCTTGGATTTAAACCTTAGACCTTCTGGTACCTTTGATTTTTGGAGCCAGCTCAAATAAATCAAGTACCACTTTATTAACATTTTTATTTGAAGCAGCACCGCTCGTAATCCACACACAAATGTTAAAAATTCTAAATGAAATGACATTTGTGGCCCTAAATCTCAAACCAGATCCCTTAATTATTGGGTTGGAAATGTGGGATTTCTTCTATTCTTTCCATCTGAACAAATTAAGACAAAAATGACACTATAAATATCAACTTACAAACACCATCATGACAAGTAGAGAGAATAAGCTTAATTAAGCTATAAGTTGTCTGAATGTTAAAGTCAAATACCAAAACTTGGCAAAACTATCATCAAATCTAAACCTTTTACCCCAACCGAAAACCAAATACCAAACAAGGAATCAATTGATCCATTCATTCATGATGAAAACTAATCAAGTTGAGTTAGATCGGATTTCGGACCGGATACACGTTACATGATAGTGCAAAAGCTAATCCCCTCGTAATTATCATACGGATCGTACTCTTGAGGTGGGTATGAAGGCACATAGGCCGCCCGTGGCAGGGGAGTTTCATAGTCATAAGAAGACGGAAGGTATTCAATTGCAGGTGGCTGTAGGCGGCCATAAGGGTATTCAATCGCAGGCGGATGTAGGCGGCCGTAAGGGTATTCAATTGCAGGCGGCTGTAGGCGGCCATAAGGGTATTCAATATTAGTCGTCTGATAGTGATAATAAGGACGGTCCATGTAGGAAAACCGATTATAAGGTGAAGTGATCGAAGAAGCATAATTGTAGTAATTATGCCTAAGTTGCGGATGATTGAGTTTAACGTTAAGGAGTTCCGCGTGTCCACCTGTAGACATTACTGCCTTCAAGAGGAAGTTTGGATTAACTTCACCACGTACTCGCACGCTACTTTGTTGAGCATCCCAACTCACAGAATAAACCCCTAACATTCCATCAAAACATATATACATTCATCGTAAAACTCTAAAGAAGTTGATATCAATTCTGACACGAAAACATATTCAATACAAAATCTTACCACGGATGGAACGTAAGACTTCAATTGTCTTCATCAAACAAGATTCACACTTGGAGTGGACTTTCAAACAACAATCCTTCAAAACCAAACCAAAATCAATTCAAACATCGTCGTGTTATACGTATAACACATTAATTAACCACATGCTTTTACCATATCTGCGCTTGCTTCCATCGAGAACAAACTGGATCGAAGAAAGAACACGAGACACACGACTATCTTGCTGGGTAGAGGAGTAATTAACAAGATATGTAAGTATTAATAGATGATACGATATCACAGCAAAATACACATACTTGGAAATGAATCCTGGGTTTTATGAGTATATCATAGTTTCTGTTTTGGAAGTTGATAAACCTTGATTTTTATCGACAAATCTACGATCTTTGCTGCTATTATGACAACAATTTACTTGAATCATTTCCTTGGAAACATATATGAACATTGTATACTTGGATTATATGATCATCAAGATCTATAATCCAACAGAAAAATAGAAAATCAAGTTTCCAAATTTAGAAGATTGGAGAGGATTTCATCTTTGTTTTCAAGAAAAAGATTCAAGTAAATCATTGTCATAATTGCAGCATATTGAAGTTTATCAATTTCCAGAATATATTGCTGTGAGATACACAAAAAACACAAGATTTCCCTTCAAATATGTTGTATTTTTATGGTCATATGGCGTTCATATATTAATAATAACATATCCCCATCTCTACCTATCACAGCTTCTTCAAGAATCTATAATACTTCTGAAACCAACCATTTTTTTCAAGCATCCATGGGACGCAAGTCTAAAGACACAGAATACCCTGCATTTACGGTTGTACAATACATCTCACATAAATCATAGTCCCTCTTTCTGTAGACCATATCTTCTAATACGTTTTGAACTTATTGCAGAACTTCACCATCAAGGTGGCTGTTAAAGAACGTTCGTGGCCAAGAACAGTGACAAAGATATTGAAAAGTGTTGAAGGTATGTTTGTGTGATCTGTTTTCACTTCATTCTATAATCTTGTCCTATATTTTGAGTAAAGACTGATAACTGAATTGGGTTTTTTTTGGGTATTGATCAAAGGAGTAACTAATTTCAAAATGGAGGACGACGGGAAGGTAAATATTTCAGGTTACATCGAACCAATTGCCCTTCTGAAATGTCTGAGGAAAGCAGGGAAATCTGCACAGTTAGTGCATTGGCAATATGGAGAATGTTCAAGCAATATGTATGTAAAGAAACCAGATTCAACCACAAATAAGAACGTAAATGTAAACGGATCATATGGCTATTGCTTATATCCAGGATATGGAGGGTATAACGGGTATGGTTATCCTAGATATGGAAGGAACGATGCTTACAATCATCTAGAATGTGCAGGGAATGCTTCTGATTGTAATGGACATCATACAGAAAAGCCAAAAACTCCAGAGAAATCAGCTTCTTCTCCTCCTCCTTCATCAAGTGTTTTCCAAAAGCTTAGTAGCAAAATATCATGTGTCAATGGTGCCAATTGTTGCAGTTTGATGTGATTGAATTTATAGGACACAGTTACCTTCAATTTCAGGTTTCTGTATGCAGTTGAAGTATTCAATCAATTAATCGAGTATTAGGGTTATATCTATTTTCCAGATTTTACAGTCATAATGATTTGTCTCCATACATAACTTCTGTTTTTGAATCCGAACATGATCCTTGGCATAAAAAATTTCTAGCTCAATCAGATTCCACTACCATCTAATTTCATAAAAATCTATACTACACCGTAAAATATATCACTTCAATTGTAAAATTTAGTAAATTAGAGTTTCACGTATGATTCGACCTAAGTTGTATATATGTATCGGTATTACCTGATCAGCCTTTGCCAGAATCCGTTGCCGGAGCTCTACATGTCGCCTGAAGCCTCGTCATCGTCATCGCCATGGCAACACCTGGAAGAAGACTCAGCGACGCCGGCGCCGATAAACACCGCCAGCCGCCGTCACCTTAACAGCCATTTATCTGCAATTCTTTCAATAAAATTCAACCGATGACTATTTTTACCATTTTCCCAAAGTAGATTTGTGGGGGGATTTGTGGGGATGATGCGAAAAAGATGACTCTTTTGAATCGTGTATTTCACACCCCTTATTTTATTGATTCACACTTTTGCCACAATAATTTATCAGAATCGCGTATTTCACACCCCTTATTTTATTGATTCACACTTCTGCCACAGTAATTTATCTTTGAGTAAATTACAAATTTTGTCCTTGTAGTTTTATGTTCGTTACAAAAAGGTACCTGAACTCTAAAATTTTATGGCTAGGGTAAAGTGTATCACGATACATAATTTTTTGTTAGTTTCTGTTTAATGTCACAATACGGGTTTTTTTCGTAGTCAGTGAGATGAACTTTCAAATCTTTATATTATGTACAAGTTTTAAATAGTACCCGTTGAAACAAGTTAAATATTGTTGATGCGTAAATTATTGTTGTATGTTTTACGTGATCGATGATATGAAAAAGAAAATGCATTAAAATGAAATGAGATTCATATTACTTCTATTTAAATCCAAAATTTAAGAAAAATACTATATACACACACACACACACACATACATACGATACATATCACATTCAAACCTTGTCTCCAAAACCAGATCTTTTTGTTTCTGTAAGTTCAGAATCAAAAAGGAGGTATAGAGATGAAAAGGGTATGTGGATTTCTTCTAATTCAAGCACATGGACAAAATCTGAAATTTTCTCTCTTTATCTCTCATTGATTTTGTCTCCTCCTCGGGTATATTTTAAGTTCTTTATAAGGAAATTAGAAAATAAGTAAACAGACAAAATACCTTTCATTTAACTGACATTTTAACGGTCTTAATGATCAGGGACTACTTTCAAAGAAAAATACAAACAACAAGGATGATTCCTAGACTTATTAAAGTTAAGGTCCCATTTAAAACTTTTCACTAAACCTTAAGGACCAAAATTACAGTTTACTCATATAAAAATAATGGCAAAATAAAAGAAGACCTGGATTTCAATGGAGGGATCAGTTCAGATTCACTGTTCTTCACAAATGAAATGAAGACACGTTGGTCTCGCCGGCCGGAATTTTTGAACTGGGATTTTTCCGGCCAGAAGCTGGTAGGTCTGAGGACAGGTACCTTGGTATATGGTACAAGAAAATCGCAGTTAAAACAGTGGTTTGGGTTGCCAACAGAGGCTTCCCGGTCACCGGAGCATCATCACACCATGTCTTAAAGATCGCCGATCCCGGAATTCTCGTCCTCATGAACAATATCACCGTCGTCTGGTCACTCAGTACAACGATAATATCACCAAACGCAACCGCAAAGCTTCATGACACCGGAAATCTAGTCGTGATGGACGAATACAAAAGTGATATCTGGAAGAGTTTCAATCACCCAACTGATACTCGTTATCGTTTTTTGGAAGGGTGTCCTAAGCTATGCCAACGGGAAGTTTACGGAAATGGTCAAACCATAAAACCAAATATGGTTTTGTGGGTCAACCATTTTCGTATTCCCAACAAAAACAAGGTGAAATGGTCAAGTTTCGTGAAGCACTCGATGGCGATTCAACGGTCAGTAACTTGTTAACTATATACAACGTAGTCATCATTCAACCGAGGTAACTTTCACTTATAACGTTAAACATTTTTGTACTTCTATCGTATTTTTTACGATGAAGATATAAAAATGTTATAAATTTGTGAGAACCGATAAATGAAACTCCATGTTTATTTAGGAACCCATGAAAGATGTGGATAAAGCAGATAGTATCTAGTACGGTTGGCAGGGACGGACCCAGACTCATGTGTTAGAAAGACCTTAACATAATTTGGTCGTTGAAAGAAAACAGCAACACTTATTGAATGTGGCCCAAACTCTTTTTTTCTAGTTTAATGTTCGTATTAAATTGTGGGCCAAGTGAGTGTTAATAGCTACCTACTTGATTAATAAGACTTCTGGTCCCACCGTTACCCTCAGTCGCTGAGTGAGCTAAAAAAATATCACATTACATTGGTGTCCAGAAAAATGGGTTTCGTATGAGGCTGGCTGAGATTATTGGTAATCAACTTTTTACCCAAATAAGACAATATCAGCTTCTATAGATAATAAATCTCCATACGTGAAGTTGTTTGCCTATCACGTCGAATATTGATCACTTCATGTGCTTGGATGCTTAGATTTTGCATCAACACCTCGACTTTTGGACGCTAGATTCGTCACTATATGAAACTACGTCAAAACCCATCGAAACTTATCAAGACCAAAGCAAGTTTTAATTATGAAGTATTATAAATATCTTAATAATTCAATAACGTTGATTAGTCCATTAATATACCAACGACAGTTAATAATCCAAATAATCATTTTGTATTCATTCTTATCCATATACGAAGAAGTTTCGTCTTCACAGGGTGCTACAAAACCCTAAATCTATTATGTATTTTACAGAAAAGAAAGAAAATGCTTCTTTTTTATTTTATGTGATAATCTCTAAATCTAAAAGATTGAGAATGAGTCGGCGACTCATAGGCAGTGGCTTGGTTAAGGGAACCCACCGAAGCCGTAGCAAAAACGAATACTTATTAGATCGAATGTACTTACGAATGGATCTTAACATTTTAGATATAGACATATCAATTTAATTTATAGTCAGTGTATTTGAGTTACAGACAAAGTACAAACCATAATAACTATATATGGGTCAAAGATCTTCCAGCCTAGTGGTAAAGGCTTGGGCATGACATAGTCATAAACCCGAGTTCGAGTCCTGGGAGAGGAGTGTTGGCGACATTTAAGTGGAGCCATGTTTAGCCTTCAAATTTACCGAGGATTAGTCGGGCTTTGGCCCGGACACCCTTACAAAAAAAAAAAAAAAAAACTATACATGGGCTGGATTTATGATTATCCTTAAGCCCGTATAACTAATAAGCCCATTAAGCCTAAATGAAGTTTTATTTTAATTTTATTAATAATAATAAAATCATATGTAAATACATTTACACATAAAACCTTCTAATTATCATCATTAAACTTTTAACACATATTTTGATTATTCTGCTAGAATAACTATTTTGACAATCACTATGACATAATTCGGGTTTCTGGTTATCCAATAACTGTATCAAATCATACAAATTCTTCATGTACGACCCTATAGGTTTACATACTCGTTGACCATATTATTGTCTGACACGTGTTGTGGGCATATAAAAACTTACATTCTTCTACTTGCACACAACACACACGACATAAACGGTGGTAATCGTCTAGCAACACATAATGTCCCCAAGGCTATGTAAATGTGTTTTCTTCGAGCAATTTGATTGATTCAATCAATCATGAGGTAGAATTATTCATTATCATTTTTTTTCTTCAGAATATATTAATTTGAAGTTAAAGCATAAATCTGACTTATCCTTTAAAGTTCAAAATTATGTTTCTTGATTCTAACATATTTGATTTAAACAAGTGTTTAAACAATAATTTCTACCATGGTTTTAAGTTGAATTTGAAGTAATTGGGCCAACTTGTTACTTTAGGCTTTTGATTGTTACAAATGGTATCAGAGCCGATCTCTGTACCATTGAGATGGTAGGGCAAACCTCATCGGGTATGATGAATCATCTTGGGAGGGTTTGTAACATCTTAGGTGAATCCCACACCGTCGATTACAAGGAGAAATATTTTGGGTGGGTCTAGCGAGGACGTCAGGAGTGTAAGTGAGGGAGTTTGTAAAAACTCGTCCCATATGGATAGAAAATGGGATTTATGATCTTCTTACAAGTTTCAAGCTGAGAACTACCAATAAGTTCTACTATGGTTTTAAGTTGAATATGAAACTATTGGACCAACTTGTAGCTTTGGGCTTCGGGTTGTTATAAATGGTATCAAAGCCAATCTTTGTACAACTAGGATGGTAGGGCAAGCGCCATTGGATATGATGAGTCCTCATAGGGGAGGGGGTATAATATCTTAGGCGAATTCCACATTGTCGATTACAAGGAGGAAGATTTTGGGCAGACCTGACGAGGACGTCAATAGTTTAAGTGTGAGCTCCTTACAAGCCTCGAATTGTGGGCTACCAATATCTTCCATAATGGGTTTAAGTTGAATTCGAAGTTAGTCAACTTGTTTCTTTGGGTTGTTACAAATGATATCAAAGCCAATTTTTGTTCAATCGGGATGGTGAGGGAAACCTCATCGAGTATGATGATTCCTCGAGGGGGTTTGTAACATCTTTGGCGAATCCCACATTAATGATTACAAGGAGGAAGATTTTGGGGCAAGCATGATGAGGATGTCTAGAAAATGGGATTTGTGAGCTCATTATAAGCCTCAAGTTGTGGACAACCAATATCTTCCACCATGGTTTTAGGTTGAATTTGAAGTTATTGGGCTAGCTTGTTGCTTTGTGCTTTAGGTTGTTACAAATATGTTGTCATTTGCTATGCTCGCAGAGTGGCATACTGAAAAATATATAACGTATGTCCTTGCCTAGCTTTACTTTCCTTCTGATATCAGGAAGCCTTTAAAAAAACCGATGTCACGCAAGATTTACTTGAATCATAGGTAAAATGGTATCAAAATAGATGATTTAAAAACTTATTATGTTAATCGAGAAAAACAAATCATTCATTACATAAAATATAAATGAAGGCAGATCTCGTTGCATTTTGCTACGTCAAATAATAATGATTTATGATATCACATGAAAATTTTTATAAAACAATTGTCAACTCAACAAAACCAATGCCTTAAAATATTTACATAGTAAGTATTTATAAGGTCATTTTACTTTATCGGATAGACATAATAATGATTGAGAATCTTAGCGGTAAAAACGATAACTAGAACCAAGAGTCTTATCCAGTAAGTGAGGTTAACAACTCTTACCCGCTAAACGCTTATTTGATAAATTGTTGCATACGATGCCAATTTTAATGTGCTAAAATCTTAGTCGGTAAGTTAAGTGAAAGTGTTAACTCGTACCAGTAAGCTCTTTGTAAGATCCAAGACCAACCGTACTAGATACTATCTGCTTTATCCACATCTGAACTCACGGTTTTAAAATGCGTCTGGTAGATGAGGTATCTAGTCTCTTATAAGACAATCTTCATTCCCTCCCTAAACGATGTAAGATCTTACCCCCCCCCCTCCTTTGGGTGCCCAACATCCTCGCTAGCACACTAGTCTGGTTCCCGACTCTTACACCATTTGTAGCTAATATATAAACCACATAAGTGGTGCCTGATTGGTTTAAGCTTGACTCCAAATGTCAAAAATATCAGTCTAAATCCAAGGAGGAATAAAAATCCTCTTGTGGCTACAGAGGTTCACATACGGTGACTTTGGACTATCTGCAAAGCAGCTGGCCGCCCTATAATTAGTCGGCTCGGATAACAGATTAGATATCCAGGTTAATAAAAAAAACCAATATATATTAAAGCCTTCGTTGTCTACCAAAAAAACCATCGTATATAAATCTTATGTAGTGCGTTGTGAGCCATGTCTTTTGCTATATAAAAGAAAGACTGCGGTCTGAATTTGAACACCGTCATGCCTATTTGCCATTGAATAAATCAGGCGGGTTACTGTCAGACAGCTGCTACATTTAACGACTGAATTCCAATCGCCGGACGAATTTGGTCGGAAAAACTCATATTCACACTTCAATTACAATCAACAATGAAAGCCTGATGATAACACTACATGAAGATTTAGGATTTTGCTTCAGACTTCAACTAGATTCCTTCTGATTCCATCATAATCCATTTAAGAGGTAAGGATTCGTAACTCCAATTCCATGGATTGCATCTGTAATAGATCTGAATTTCACCTCACGCCACTTCTATTTTATGTTTGTGAATTTTTCACACTGATTAGTTTACCTACTCTGATTGTTCGAAGGCGGCGAAGGTTTTAGATTCATTCTCATGTAATAATCAAACAATTAACAACAGAACACTTGCAATCTGTTAGTGTTATAGTCGTATTTATGCAATAGTAGTAACCAAATTTATAGGTATTTATAAATTCCTTTTCTTCCTCTTTGTAACTGATCGATGTTCGAGGAATACATACAGAAAGCTTTGTGGATCCCTGAATTAAATCAAGGTTAAATCAATCTAATATCGAACCTAATAGGTATCAAAATACGTATTTTTCGTTGTTCTTCATGTGATTTAATCTGTGGACACAGTGTCTCAACCTAAATCAGAAATAATCTAGCATTAGATTTCAATTTAACCTAATGAAAAACCTGTCAGATCTCTGTTGTTTGATGCATACACACCAACGGATTGTAAGTGTTGTGTTGTTAATTGTTTGATTATTACATGAGAGTGAATCTAAAACCTTTTCGTCTGCATCAACAATCACATAAACTCATCAGTGTGAAACATTCACAAACATAAAATAGAAGTGGAGTGAGGAGAGGTGAAATTCAGATCTATTCTAGATGCAATCCATGGAATTGGAGTTACGAATCATCAATGGAGAATTCTAACTTACTTGTTAAATGAAATTCTGATGGAATCAGAAGGAATCTAGTTGAAGTCTGAAGCAAAATCCTGAATCTTCATGTAGTGTTTATCATCAAACAATTAACACCCATTACATTTAACATTCGACTTTTGAAACCGCGTATATAGAAAACAACTTGTATATATATATATATATATATATATATATATATATATATATATGTTACTTTCCAAAACGTGTTAGATGATGCATATATGTTACTAATCTTGATAAAAATTTTCGTATTTGTAGAAGCACTCTAATGGCAAGCGAGGGTGGAAAAGAGCCATTGCTAATAGGACAACAAGAACCTGGACCTGAGACCAATTCTTTTGGTTCATTTAAAAGCAGAAACCTGCGACGCTGTAAAAGCGCCCCCATGGTGGAACCTGTTCCCGAGGATACCAAAATGGACCGCTTTTATGACGGCCCGAGATCTATTTTCGAGCAACTCAAGCCAAAATTCGGGAGGGTAGCCCTCTACTTGTTTGGGTACTTGGGTCTAAGTACATTTTGCTTTTATTTGGTTAGAAACCAAATTACTGGAAAGGGAACACAAGGCATTGTGGACGGTCTTTATTTCTGCGTTGTAACGATGACCACCGTTGGGTATGGAGACCTTCTACCGAATAGCACCACCACGAAACTACTCGCGTGTGCTTTTGTATTTTCCGGGATGGCCCTTGTGGGACTTAGTCTAAGTAAAGCCGCCGACTGTTTGGTGGAAAATCAAGAAATCTTGTTGGTGAAAGCATTGCATTTGCGTCAAAAAGCTGGTTCGATGGAAATTCTGAAAGAAACTGAAACCAATAGAGTAAGATACAGGTGTATAATCTTCTCGGTTTTGCTTATGATCCTCATAACTGCAGGAACGATCTTCTTAATAACGGTTGAGAAAATGGACTTTATCGATGCCTTCTATTGTGTGTGTACCACGATGACAACTCTTGGTTACGGAGATAAAACGTTCTCGACAATGGCTGGGCGTATTTTCGCAATATTCTGGATTCTAATGAGCACTATATGTTTAGCTCAGGTGTTGTTTGCTTTTGCTGAACTGTATACGGAGAACAGGCAGAGGGAATTGGTCCGATGGGTTCTTACAAGAAAAACAACCGTGGCTGACTTGGAAGCAGCTGATCTTAATGATGATGGTCTTGTGGGGTAAGTTCATATTCATCAATGAATATTTAATGTTTTATAACACCCTAACTCCTAATTTACTAGTAGCATCTTAACAGCTATGATCCAACAACCGTGTTATGCTATATGTTAAAATAGAGAAAAGAATTAAGAGACGATGGAAATCTCCAAATTTGGAAAATCTTTAAAACACGATATTTGAGAGAAAGATTATAATAAATGTATTGAATATTTTAATAATATAACTAAAAGCAGAATTGTTAAAATAGAGTAATTGTAGTTTTTTCTAGAGATTTTAGTTTTTGATACTTTATTTTAGAAAAATTATAACATAACTGTTGGAGATGTTCTAAACACGTATCAACAATAAGACTTACTTTTTACATTTTCAATGCATGATTTGATCTGATTCTAACAAGAACTGATATTTGATGAATGGATTGGATGCAGGGGTGCTGAATTTGTGATTTATAAGCTAAAAGAGATGGGAAAGATCAACCAAGAAGACATTGCGGTTATCATGGCAGAGTTCGAAAAGCTTGATGCGGACGACTCAGGGTCTTTGTCTGTCGCCGACATTTCCCAAGCCCAATCACAATAGTAATTATGCCGCTGAGTTAATCTCCCTACCTTTTCGGGTGAAGGTCCCGGTCACAAAATAGTCAACTTTTCCGGGTTTTGTACAAAAATAGTCACGGAGTTCGTAAAGTGGCTTTCGAATCTCCCTACCTTTTGTAAGCTCCATTTTCTTTGTATAAATCTTGATTATTTAAGTTACATACGTTTAGGGTTCGCACAAAAAGATTCACAAAATACGCCTTTTCACTTCCCGAATCAAACGGTCAAATCTTTTTCTCTCTCGTTCGCGTCTATTTCGTGCAAACTCCGGAAAAGTTGGGTTATTATGTGATGAAACCGCTATTAAAATACCCTGAATTTTGGTGATTAACCCTTGATCCCATTTCTTTAGGTACTCGACAAACATTTCGGTTGTACCTCGTCCGAATACCTTTCGATTCATCAAATGTCACGATTGTCTAAATCAGATCACACCGATAAAAAACGGTAAAACTAAATCCACATACATACAATTAAGTTTCTTCTCACACAGTATAATTTTACACGATTTTGATATAAATAGATGTACATACAGAAACATATATCAATCAAATTTTGATTCTAAAAAGCCCGGTTTTTCAAAACAAATAAAAGGGTATTTATGCAGATACTAAAGCAACCTAAAACGTCGTTGATGGATTAATCACAAAATTAAAATCAAAGCGAATCGGATCGGATCCCAAATTAAATGAGATTGATTTCCAATTCATATTGAAAAACTAAAGACTAAGAAGAAAAATAAAAATTATAAGATTATTGATGATATTATTATTCTTAATAATAATAATAATAAGCCTATAACATCTGGGAATGCCATCAAAAACTACAGAAACAAATTACATTTGCTCAGATTTACTACGACTACTACTTCCTTCTTCGGATTCGGGTTCGGGTTGTAGTACGGGTTCGGGTCGACCGGCGACGTAATCCAAGATCCCTTCCCCTGCTTTCTCGCCGGAAACCTGAGCCGACGGTGGCGAAGTAAGCCCAAAAACGACGACGGCGAGGAGGAAGAGAGCGGTGGAGAGCAAAAGTGGCCAAAAATAGGCGAGAATGTTGAGGAATCTTGGGGCGATGTAGAGAAGAGAGACGATGATTAGAGCCAAAGTGGTGGCGATGAGTATGTGGAATTTGAACTTCAGAAGCTTTTCCGAGATCTCCATGGCGGCGACGGTGGTGGTGGTGATGGAGAGATAGAGAGAGAGAGAAAGAGAGAGAGAGAGTGAAGGTGGAGATGATTGGAGTTTTATGTGAAGAGATTCTCTCTGTATGCAGGGTTTTGAAAAAAATAATATTATTTATAAATTCCATAAATGATAAGAATATATGTTGATTATAAACTTTTATTGTTTATTTAATTAAAGTATATTTTTTTAAACATATATGGTTATTTACTCCGGATCACACGAGAAAAAAAAAAGACTTCTATCGATAATATTTTAGGGGTATTTGGGATTGTTTATAACAACAACATATTGATTTATTCCGATATGACATCGGTAATAAACACTTTTGAGTGTTTAGATAAACAACTTATATCGATGTCAAACTGGTAATAAGAAGTTAAACCATTATAACTTATAATAAGTTAATAATGACTTTTGTAGAAAAACATAAGTTGTTTCAAATAAGCAATCCCAAACACCCCCTAAATATTACCTTGTATATTTTGAGAGTGATTAAAGGTTACATGATCTAAATGTGTACCTTTTCTAGTTTATACGAATACATATATTCACATATATCACGTGACTGTTATGTTTCTCATACTTAACAAAGAAAATGACATTTCTTACAAAAACTCAATATTATATATACTACATCGCCTGGTTGCTATTGAACGCTTATTATTATTTTTAAGCATGGCAACAGGGCGGGGATAGGACAGGTTTTGTAATCCCCAGCCCCAGTCCCCGACGGGTTTGGGGATTAACATTTTGTCCCAGTCAAACCCCTGTCAAACCCATGAAGAATATCCGTTAATTTGAGTCTACTAGGGATCCCCACCCTCAACCCCAACCCATTTTAGTGGGAAATTCCCGTCTATGTTTGGGTCGGGGCAAATCATCCTCCTTAATTATTTTTTACATGTATCAATATCAAAATATTTTTTTAAAGTAATTAGATAATATAAATGAATTTACATAGAGCAACATGTAATATTAATAATAATAAGTTTGAAAAAGATGATGCATTGGTTGTGTTGATTGTAAGTTGAAAAGAAAGAAACAAAAAGACTTTGATTTTGGATGGTGGAGATTGCACGATTGGAAAGTTGAAAATTCAAGGTAAAGCAAGTGATTTGAGGGTGTAATTTGTAAATGTTAATGTATATATATAAAAGTAAAACTATGGATTTGGTTTATCTGGTTTGGTATTTTACGAGATTCGTCTTTAAACCTTTATTTATTACTTAGAAACCTTTTAAGATCTATATTTTGTTTTGGAGTTGGTCGTTAACTTTAACGTTCGTCCCATTTCATGCTGTTAAATTAGCCCACATGCACAATATACGTGTACATTGTCCTTTTATATTTCTTTTTATAAGTTTGTCCGTTGTCCCTTCACCACCGGCCCCTTCTTCCTTACTCTCTGGAGACCCTTCTTCTCATTCTCCCTACAGGGTTTTTGCTTTTTCTGTTGGACGATTTACAGTTTAATAGTGCATTTTGACTACATTCTAATACATATTGTTATAATACTGTTACTAATTGACTATGTTTATCTACACCCCCCTCCCCCCCCCCTCTCTCTCTGTGATCAGTGTAGGGATTCAGGGTTGCGGAGACCAACGTGGTTCTACAACTTGAGTGTGGTGCCAAAATGATGCCAAAAATGGCGTAGAAGAATAATAGCTAAGAAAGAAATCATAAGATAAAAATATAAGATTTAAACCAAAAAGTTTTGATTTCTGATGGTAATTTAAGGGTTACCTCTTAATTGTTCTATTAAGAGGTGAATCTTGTTTGACAAAAGGAAGTCTATCTCTTAATGATTTCCAAAACATTTTGAATGATTTTGTATATTGGGCCTCTCTTAACTATTCAGCACCTTAATTTCATTATGAATAATTACTAAACAATAACATTTCATTTGCCACTATATTATAAAGAGTCTCTTAATCATTTTGACCACGTAACCATTCTGCACCAAACCATTCAGCAACTGTCAAACAGTCCCTTAATTTATGATTTGGATCTTAGGGAGGCGCGAGCGAGTGAAGCCCCCACAAGAGCTGGACATGCGGAAAACTCACTGGGAAGGATGGATCAGCCAAAAAGTGAACAGACAGAAAGAGAGAGAGGATAAAGCTAATATCTTTTAACATGTCATGTCGTATTTTTATTAGGAAACGACTACAATGTCGGCCATTTAATTGAAACTAACAGAAGAGATAACAAATGTTACGAAAAACGACAAATTCCAAGACACAGTATAAATTATTAAGATATTTCCTAGTAAACAAAGTTGAAGGACTAATTATGTAATAACCAACAAATCACATGGACCACATCCATAATTTAGTCTATATATAATCACAAAAAGTTAGACACCCACCTCTGGCTAATGTGTGGTCACCTTTTCAACTTTATACTCAAAACTTAGTACTATTTCATTTATATTCCAAAATTATATTTCCAAGGAAAAAACATCAGTTTATATATTTCCGGTTCTGATACCATCTGTAACATCTCAGGCTAACCGTATCATATATTATCTGTTTTGTCTATATACTTGGACTTACAGTATTAGAATACGTATGATAGAGCAGGTATCAAACCCCCTTATAAGACAACAGTTGTTTTCCTACCTAACCAATGTGGGATCTTACAGTTTTCCTCGTACACGTCAATATTGTGACTTACTTTTTACATTTTGAATTCATGATTACAAGATTCTAAAATAAAAAGGGGTATGACATTTTTCTTATTAAAATACCAGATGTAAAAAATATGTTCTGATATTCGTACTTTTTCAAAAACAAGATTACTTTTTACTTTTTGTCCAATATGTTTTTACTTGTAATTCATTCACTTTTTGTTATTTATACTGTTATTTTTTTCTCTCTTATCTTCTCTCTCTGAAAAACCGTCTTGATCTGATTTTAGAGTCAAAAGTTATGATCTTTCGAAGTTTACTAAGAAACTGATTAGGAAATATATGGATCTCCAAATTTATTTGATATTTAGATCTGCAAAAATAAGCAAGTTAAAAAACACATCTAATTAGAAACTGATTACAAACTTAAAAAAAGGAAAGAGTTGTTTGACAGTTGCTGAATGGTTTAGTGTAGAATGGTTAAGAGGCTCTCATGATATACTGCAAAATGAAATATAATTGTTTATAATAAAATTAAGGCGTTGAATGGTTAAAGGATGTCCATGATACAAAATCATTCAAATGGTTTTATAACCATTAATAAACAAACTTTTTTTCGTTAAACAAGATTCATCTCTTAACAATTCAGAGGTTGTCTCTTAATAAAACTATTAAGAGATAAACAAACAACCCATTTAGAATTACAAAAATCTAGAAAAATAAACAACTTTAAAAATAAGATCATCTCGACAAGTTGAGTAAAAAGTCCAACTTTTCGAAGTTTTACTACGATTATGATAACGAAGGCGTTACAAACATAATTCAGTCATCCAGATCCCCATAAATTTATAGCGTTTAGATCTGAAAAACAAACAACTGCATAAGAAATCATCTTAATCTGAGTTATAAGTAAAAAGTTACGACCTACGAAAGTTGACAACGAACATGACTACAAAATAAATGTGTGTCTAATTATTGCACGTGTACACATCATTGACATGAATCACGAAAATATAGCCAAAGTACTGATTTCATTAAAACTTATGACCTACGTGAATGGTAATCGTGATGGTGATTGAACGACAGACGATGAAATAAGAATGCAAATAAAAAGGGTTGGGACCAGGAGGTCGTTTACCAAACACTTACATGGGTAAGATATAGTATTATATTAAAACTAGGGGTGTAAATGATGCGAGTCGAGCTCGAGTATCACTATACTCGACTCGAACTCGAAACCCAATTTCCAAGCTCGAACTCGACTCGAAAACTCGCGAGTAGTAAAAATCAAAGCTCGATAATTATTTCTCAAGCTCGAACCCGAACGAAGGTCGAATCCTCAAAAAGGGGTATTTCCATGGGTTTGCCTTAGTATCGTGTTCATACTGTTCCCCCCTTTTCCGCCAACTCTTTGGCCTTAAGAACGCAGTAAAATATCGATTGTTTGTTAAACCCTGTGAATTTTGTCAAGATCCATGCAACATTGTTCCAAAACTTTATACTGTGATAAACTAAAAGGAACTTTTAATAAACAGTTAACCAAACAAAATGTAACCTAACCACGAATTTAACAAATATGTAAACATAAAAAGATACTAATATTCCCACGAGTATGAATCGTGCAAATTTTCCTTCAAGTTTTGCACATGTCGTGCCAATGTCACCGGAGGCCACATACGATCGTTGCCATTTTATCTTCACGTCCATTACGATTTGTGTCAAACCTTCTTCCCAACTAGTGATGGCCAAACACCGGTCCTCGGCTGGGCCAGGCCGGTCCCAAGATTTTTCATAACAGGCCATAACTGATCCCGGCGTAACCTCCGGTTCCGTTCAAAAAAGTTGAGCCCGGTCAAGGTTTATTGTAAACGGTTATGGGCTGCGGTCCCAATCCCAACCGATCCTGGTCATTAAAAATTAATTTTTTTATTTTTATTTTTTAATGTTATATATTTTCAATACATTATAAAATTTGTAATTGAGTCACTCAAATACACTTTAAAAATGCGTTTTATTATAATTAAAATTACATTGTCTAACAAAATATAGCGAACAACCGATAATTGTGAACATTTTTTGCGAATCGAGAACTGGGTATGTAAATCTCTCAACATATACACTTATATATAGTGTTTAGAAAGCAAAAAATACAAAAAAAGACCAAAAATTACTTCTTTACGTTAAGTTATATTATTAAACATAAATTAAATTACTTCTTTACGTTAAGTTAAATTATAATAAAAAGTTTGAATTAAAGAAATTACACAAAACAAGGACTTTTAAATAGTTATTGGATATTAATGTCGATATAGTTTTTTCAAATTTTTATGATATTTTATCCAAAAATAAATACATTATTGTTTTTTCAAAACCACATAAAATCGTATTA